TGAGTAATTTAGCAGCAAAAGGTAGAAACTGAACCCCTTTTTGGTGAACCGCAAACTCCCACATATCACACATACTTATATTGTGCATGCATATATACATATGTTTGTATATATGTTATTTATATCTATGTACGCTTCAAAGCAACGTGTGTAACGTTAAAAAAACACACCAACCGTGCCATTTGTAAACAATTAAGCTTTTTGATAAAACCCAGGCACGCATGTGAGCAAATTCTTATCTGTTGTTGTTGTGAGTACTTTTCGCTGTTGTTAGTACATATATGTACATTTACTTAAGATTTATATATAACATGCATTAGTTTTCTATATCAACCAGCTAATAATTATTTTTCACGATATATTTATCTTAAAAAGTTAGCATATCTCACACTATAACCAATGTGATTTCAATATTTGACCGCAATCAACTCACCTGCTCGCAATGAGAGCTTGCCAACACGTGTTCAGGTTTGAGAGCAGCATTAAGCATAAGTCAGTTGGGAGAACATTCATATGAAGTATGAAAAGCATGATGCAACTCAACTGCTTGCAGTTGTTAGAGAACTTACATCAGCCACTAGAAAATTGGCGGCTAATAACCATAAATGCTCAAAAGAGAGTTGTGTTTAGATATATACATACATACAATTGTTTAAATATATTATAATTACATATAAACTTTTTTGTTTGAAAAATGCAATGAAATGAAATAGAGGTAAAAGTTCGCATACTTGATTTCTAAGAAAAAAATAATAATATTGTGTAATGCGGTTGCTTTTGAAGAGAAACTTTTGTTTATAGGCACATTTTTCCACTTCTTTTTATGGGAGAATTTGTTGTAATTGTTTAAGTGAATGGATTGTGAATATACATTTATATCGTCACCTAAAATGCAAAACAACGTAACATCACTTTTCACAAGTTTACAGGCGATGCAAAAGCGATAAACAAAATTTGAGTTTTGGTTATAAAATGGTTATATATCGGTTATAAAATGGTTACATGTTGGTTATAAAATGGTTATATATCGGTTATAAAATGGTTACATATTGGTTATATTTTTCAGCAGAAGCTGGCGATATCGCCATTCACCTACGCTAAAGCAGAAAACGTCGAGTTTTCTCAGGAAAAATTCTTCCTCAGATTTTTCAATATATTCTTATACATATTTTTGCTTTAATAAAATAAAATAAAAATAAAAAAATATTTAAAGGCTAGTTTATATAATTAGTATTACAATATTTTAGCCAAAATCAAGTATTTTAACAAAAGAAAAAAAAAAAACGTGTTTCTATGTGTATGAAATTAAAATATTAATAATTTCTATTATAGTATGTATGCATGTTTATAATAAACTTTTCAAAGTTATATAAATATACATATATCTTATCAAGATTTGTTGTCACTGTGAAATAATTATATTATTAACGCAACAGCCAACTATATTGCAAAAGGCAGACAGACACATACATCATTGCGTATATAAATATTCCATAGCTCAATAAGTAGGTCACTGGTTAGGCATACTGAATGTATAAAAGTGA